TAACACGGCTCAGACAGCCCATGCAGGCTATCTGAAGGGTCCTCGCAGACATGTAGCGCAGACCCCCCCACCAAAATCAGGGCAGGCAGTGAATATGAAACAGAGCACGAGCTGGCCGAATATATACTCAAGATTCGAATTCAGGTCTGTGTTTCAGCAGTTATGGGTTGCTCACGTAGCTAGGGCCTGTTGGTCTCTGCACGTGACTCTTAGGGCTTGGCTGTGCAAAATTAGAATGAATCTTCTGCAGAACTTGGATAATACGCCACCATATGTTCAAAGAAAAGAAAAGCGAGAAAACAGAGAAATGGTGACCCATAACCAACATGCACAGACCTTAATTCGAATCCAGACTACATATTCTCTGTCCACCCTCAGGGAGTACAAGTTTGAAGTGTATCTCTGCATGACGTCGGGTCCTAGCTAATATGCTGTAGGGATCCTTCCTAAAAGAGGCTGGACACAACTAGGACATTTTTGTTTTTCTATTTTTTTAATGCGCCGCATCACTTGTGCGTGTGTGCATGTGTGTGCGGCACCCCGCGCATGAGATACGCTGCAAGTATGATTCGAACACATCTCTCTCTCTCTCTCTCGCTCACACACACACACACACACACACACAAAGGGGGTCCGAAATCCCCCGACAGGTGAGTGCGCTGGGGGGGCCCAGCCCCCAACCGGGTGCCCTGCCCGGCCAGGCCGCCCGGGACCTCCCCCGGGCCCCTGCCTCAGAAAAAAATAAATAAAAAATTGGACGACTGCAAGGATTCGGAACCGACGCCATGCACTGCAAAGTGATGCAAAAGGACATAAACAGCTCGACTTGTTCAGTAGAAGCAGCATGATAAAATGGGAATTAGTAATTACTTAGTAATTACACATGATTACAGTCAACGACTTGAATTGCTGCATTAAGGATGGAATTACGCAACGATATGTAAATATCAGGACAGGCCAACGCATCACTTCGCTTGGGTAAGTTTCAGCACAAGCGTCCTTCGGGGGCATCCGTTAAAATTGGAACGATAGAGAGAAAGAAATAGCATGGCCCCTGGACAAGGATGACTTGCAGAAATCGAGAAATGGTCCAAACTTTTTTATTCAAAACAAAAAAAAATTTCAGCACACATGTACAAACTAGCGGAGGCAATGCGATCGTCAAAAGTCAGTCCCAATTCTTTATTGAAAGGAGAAAAAAAAAAAAAAAGTTTGAGCAGAAGTGTACAAAAGCATGTGAGCGACAAAAAAAATCGCAGTGTGGTGGGGCAATGCGGCGCACACCGCAACCGTCCAATTAGAAGTAAAGTAATCCCACAAGCATTTGCAGGCATGTCCAGGCAGTTACAGATCTAAGATTCTAAGGGCATACTCTCGCACTGGCACTATGTTAAATGTATTTGACCACATTTGCAGCCGGAACAGGATGGATCTGGCTGCAATTTAGTCTAGAAGAAAAAAGCCAAAAAGTCCTCATGTCGCCATGCCTTATGACTTGTTAAGAGTGCCTCCAAACCAAGCAAGAGGTGTAGAGGACGAAAAGCACAGCTCTTGCACAGAGATTAACGGACGCAAGGCAAAGGGCTCAGAATGGCTCTCGCAACACACACACCTGCAAGTGAAACGCGACAAGCAGTATCCAAGCCAGAGAGTTCAAGCTGCCATTCTTCGCATCGTTTATCTTGTTTTTTCTGGCCCATGCCTTAACCTGGAACAACAACAACAACAAAACAAGAAAAACAAGAAAAACAAGAAAAACAAGAAAAACAAGAAAAACAAGAAAAAAAACAAGAAAAACAAGAAAAACAAGAAACAAAAACAAGAAAAACAAGAAACAAAAACAAGAAAAACGAGAAAACAACAAGTAAGTTGTTGACAACATAAAAGATAAAAGTACTACCCAGCAGTATTAATCATAAGCACGTACAGTGTCGTACACTCACTCCAACATTCTTTGCGGCACATTGTTCACGACGAATGTATTTGGACAAGCAAAGACTGCGAGAACCACTTCTCACAGTCTTTGCATAATATGTCGGGGGGGGGGGGGGGGGGGGCAGGATGCAGAACAATGCGCACCAAAGAAAGCTTTGCACAATGTGTTTGGAAGTTCAAACACTTGTGTGTACGATAAAGTCTATCGGTTCAGAGTCCCCACCGTAAGTTCCAAAAAGTGTACAATAAAGTCTCTCGGTTCAGAGTCCCCACCGGTAGTAAAGTGGGACCGTTGAGGAGTACGTTTCAGGTCTCGGTTCAGAGTCCGATGTTAATTTTTCAGATACTGATGGTTTTTTTTTTTTTAAATACAAGCTCAAATCTGTGGAGCATTTTTTATTTTGTGCAAGGCACCTTTCCAAGTTCTGTTTTTTTTGTGGGGGAGGTTCTGTTCTGGTACCGTGTGATTTTGGTACCAGCTCGGACACAGTTTCTGTTACAATCCGCTCCACGAATATCTCTTGTAGACTCTCCGGAATACGTTTTTAAAAAACTGCGAAAGTCAATCCTAACTTCCAAAAAAGGTGCCAAAGTCCCCACACCATAAGTTCCAAAAAGTGCCCAAGTCAATCCAAAGTTCCCACCGTAACTTCCAAAAAGTCCCCAAGTCAATTCCAAGTTCCAAAAAACACGCCGAAGTCCCCACCGTAAGTTCCAAAAAAGGCGCCAAAGTCAATCCTAAGTTCCAAAAAAGGTGCCAAAGTCAAAATCCCCACCGGAAGTTCCAAAAA